CTCGACGATTTGTACACAACGTTAGGGTGAAATTCGCGACACTACGTATACGTGCAATTGTCTGCGGTATGATTACGATTTTAATCACTTCTTCCACTACAGTCTTCCGTGTCGTTGATCCACGTGATCGCGACGTCAAATTCCTCTGCTAGGCAGCTTTACGACCTGTCTCTCTCATCAGTAAGTGCTTACTCCAGCAATAATTACCATGAAAATGTTTTCCACAGATTCGGTTTTAATCAAAGGAAGTGGCGGGTGCTAACCTGACATAGCGGCTCCTGAGGGGAGTGCACGCAGCTCCTGTGGCCGTACGAGACTAGAACCACACACACACACACGCACACACACACAATCTTTAAAGAATTCTGATAAAGAAAGAGATCTAGGGGTGGTTCTAGATAGAAAACTATCACCTGAGGACCACATAAAGAATATTGTGCAAGGAGCTTATGCGATGCTTTCTAACTTTAGAATTGCATTTAAATACATGGATGGCGATATACTAAAGAAATTGTTCATGACTTTTGTTAGGCCAAAGCTAGAATATGCAGTTGTTGTGTGGTGCCCATATCTTAAGAAGCACATCAACAAACTGGAAAAGGTGCAAAGACATGCTACGAAGTGGCTCCCAGAACTGAAGGGCAAGAGCTACGAGGAGAGGTTGGAAGCATTAAACATGCCAAAACTAGAAGACAGAAGAAAAAGAGGTGATATGATCACTACATACAAAATAGTAACAGGGATTGATAAAATCGACAGGGAGGATTTCCTGAGACCTGGCACTTCAAGAACAAGAGGTCATAGATTTAAACTAGCTAAACACAGATGCCGAAGAAATATAAGAAAATTCACCTTCGCAAATAGAGTGGTAGACGGTTGGAACAAGTTAAGTGAGAAGGTGGTGGAGGCCAAGACCGTCAGTAGTTTCAAAGCGTTATATGACAAAGAGTGCTGGGAAGACGGGACACCACGAGCGTAGCTCTCATCCTGTAACTACACTTAGGTAATTACACTTAGGTAATTACACGAATCGAGGGATTCAAAGACTACATAACAGGCACCATGACGATGGGAGGACCAAGAGTAGTAGTAGCAGTGATACATAACCCTCCACCAAACGACAGAAGACCCAGGCAAGAGTATGGCAACAACAACATGGCAGTTAACACTATAATTAAGAAGGCAACCGCTGCTGCCTGTAGAAACATATCCCATCTGCTCATCATGGGGTACTTCAATCACGGAAGGATAGACTGGGAGAACAAGGAATCGCATGGAGGCGAGGATACGTGGAGAGCTAAATTATTTAAGGTGGCGGCAAAAAACGTTTTAAGCCAGCATGTCAGGGAACCCACAAGAATGAGAGGCAATGATGAATCAGCGAGACTCGAACTAATCTTCACTCTGAACGACTCCGACATAAGGGAAATCGGTTTCCAGGCCCCAGTAGGAATGAGTGATCACAGTGTACTGACGTTTGAGTACCTGGTTGAAGAAGGGTTATTGAACTCGAGGAGGGATACTGAAAACAAAAGGCTGGCATTCCGAAAGAGAAACTATGAGATAAGAAAATTCCTAACAAATATAACATGGGAAACAAGAGCTCGGGAGAAAGACGGCCAAAACAAGATGGACTACATCACGCAGAAGTGTAAGGAGGCAACAGCCAACTTTGTAACGGTCCAAAAGGAAAAACACGAAATGTAGATGCAAAACCCATGGATAAATCAGAGATGTAGGCTAGCTAAGCAACGAACTATGCAGCTCCTAAGGCTGCTATCAACTGATAACACTCCAACATTCCTCCTAAGTCTTCATCCTATAACCGTACTAGGTTGCTGCTCACTCCTCAGCTCATAACCTACTACACCCTTCACTGCTTTGGGCTGAAATACAGGGTACAAAAATATTCATATATCTCCTACTACAAAATAGACATCAACCTCTCGCCTTGCACGTCAAAAAAACGCAATCAAGCACTCCCTAAACTTCAAAATGTCCGAATGGTCCTCTGTTCTATTCCTCGAGATCCACTATCAAATACATCTGTCTGGGTCCTCGAAATCAGGCCTCCAATCTGCTGGATCTGAAGTCCTCCTCGAATGTCAGCGAAGCCCTCTTACACGGTTTCTCACAAAGGACTTGTAGCACTCTACACTACTTGTAGATTCACTAGGTCACTGGAGTTCAACTTCTCAACTCGAAGTCCTGCATTACCTTGCAGTTCAGCTAATACTTCTCTGGTACGAAGTTCTCTCACTAACTTCTCCCACACAAACGTTGCAGTTCTCCCACACAAACCGCAGGGATCTATGACGTAGGGACGCATGACTATAATAATTGATCACATTCAGTCCTCTTGGTTATATAAACTTAATTAGGCTAAAAATTTAGCCACACAAGAGTTAGCAGGGAAATGACATTGCCTGAAGTCTTCTAACACCTGCAACTCTAGTACGGGACATCCGTCCTGTTCGAACTGAAGCACAAATGTCCCATTTATGAACTACTAACATTAAACTAATCTAATAATTCTGAAGAGGAATATCAGTGTTCGTCAGTTCTAAATATTGGACTTCGATCCGTATTCTGAACCTCTCTTGGCCCCCCCCCCCCCCCCCTCTTTCTGGAATTATGCTGGAAAAACCGACATCATTTACTAGCTTTCAATACAATATGCAGTTAATATTGTTTCTGTTTTGTACTTACAAATTAACCCTAGAAATAGAGCTGTAATTATTCATAGAAAACGAAGCTCCAGTGGATTTTTTCCCAAAGAAAACGGGGATATAATTGCCATGTCGATATTAAATTCACGAGCTATATTATTGGGAATTATTCTTAATAAATCATTCTCTGGACTGTTAACATCATAAAAACATTTCCCTTGAACCAACTTAGTCATCAGTACTAAAATAGATTAAATATAAACCGTGTTTTCACTTCTTAATAAAACCCATCTTGAGAACATGGTATGCGGGCGGGAGAGAAGACAGGTAACCATTTTAACCCTTAACTGTTGAGACTTGTAGTGTTGTCATCCCAGTACTGGTGTATAACACACTATTGTCGCCGAGATAGAGAGCACAAATCGGCACCGTTGAACCAGGGAAGGTATTGTATCCGTGCAGTATACTAATGATTTGTAGAGCTCTTATTTCATTGTGGCATTTTACTGTTATGGTTATGCCGTATATAAACAACAACAAACCCAAGGGGGAGCAATAATTCAACCCTTTATTTCAGAATATTATGATGTTCTAAACATAATAATTTACGTGCGGCAAATGTTACTAAACAATCTTGTTGGCAGGAGAATTGAGAAGTGAAGTTATTAATGTGGAATCACTAAAGACGAGAGACCACGTGACTGGCTGGCTACCCACTTACTCTTCACCATTAATACTGAAGCCTTCTTATCAGATAAGGCTTCCCCAGTATTTACTAACATATGTAGTCTTAACAGCTAGTAACATTGTAGTGAATGTCTACCAATCGATAATTTTGACTGATAGGCACTATACATATAATAAAACACCCCATCTTGTGAAAGAAACGATTTATGGGAATAAACTCGTACTTTACTTTACACTTTATCATATAGATTGCTATCGAATGAAATAAATTAACGCAAGAAATAAATTGCCATATAAATTAAATATAAATTATTAGAACTTATTAATTAAAAATTGTTAAATAAATAAATCCCATGAATCAGTTTTCCCCACAATTATGAGGAAGCTATAATACCTTAAATTTGTTATTGACTCATGTTGCTAAGAATTCTTTGCTTTCACCTTTCACTGAAGGGTCAGCAAAGGTGCCCCACACCATCAACACCTTCAATTTCAAATTAATAATAATAATACAGTATAATCGATCATAATAAAACACTTCCCCTTACAGCAGGTTGTGTTCATTCGGCTCCCTGGAAGGGGTCACTTCATCGTTATGAGCCAGACTCGACAAAACTCAGCCAACTTGTTACACAACACAAGCATACCATTAGGGTTGGGCAAGAGTCTCATTATACACAATACCATCATAATACTTAATCATGCCATCAACTGAAACTCACAGCAGGTAATTGACCAGACCACACACTAGAAGGTGAAGGGACGACGACGTTTCGGTCCGTCCTGGACCATTCTCAAGTCACAATCAACTTGAGAATGGTCCAGGACGGACCGAAACGTCGTCGTCCTTTCACCTTCTAGTGTGTGGTCTGGTCAACTTACTTTAGCCACGTTATTGTGACTCATCGCCTGCTCACAGCAGGTAGTTATGCATGACACAGTTGAAAGAAATTTGATTGAATTTGCCCTTCACAATGCCTTAGTAGCCTTAATTAATAATAGCAGCGGTTCAAATTAGACCCTATCATTACTTCTAAAATTTCTGGGAAACTAGTGCTCTTAGTTTCCAGTTATCTTCACGTATGCTCTGTATTTTCGGGCTTTTGCATTAGAGTGGGTTCCTGTTAGCCAACGTCTTCTGCCCTATACTCTTGGGGTTTGAGGTTTTATTTCCTACCGCACCATGCTGCTTCAGACCCCCATAATGTTTTCTCTACAAACTTAAGGTGCAAATACACGAGTCTGTCTTTAACCAATTTTTGTTTGTTTTGAAGTTTTTTTGTTTGTTTGTTTGTAAAGTAAAACTAATGTGCCTTGTTTCATAGAGTTGAATAATCGTTATTTGAGGCATTTCTTTTTTGTTCTGCCTATCTAATATTTGTTTCTTGTATTGCTCTGATTCCTCTCGCATGTTACCTCTCATCTCTTCTTCTGGACGATGGTCGTTGGAGCATGGGTTATTAATCATGTTTCCTATCATCTGCCCACAGTTGATGGCCTCACGCTCCTACTCCCTGTACATCTTGCTGCTTATCACATCCTGATTTTCCTATTCTCAATGTACATATTTTGCATAAATGTTATACATATATTTGAATAAATATATACCTAAATATAATATGTGTTTCCTTCAAGAGTACTTACCCACATCGAGCCTTGGCACTTCCGCTACGACGTTAGTCCTGACAGCCTCCACTGGCACCAGGTTAGCCATAACCAGTGCCGCCCACCACACCCACCCCCAAGGTCGTAGACAAGCTCCTCCCTCACACGCCCAATCCCTCAGCATCGCGTTAATGCCGCCCCTACGGACGGCTTGTGGTGGGAAGTGTGTGTGGGTGGTGTGCGGGCGGCGTGGGAGTAGTGTGTGGGTGGCTCACAGGCGAGGATATGGTATGTGGGCGGCTGCTGGGTGGCACCACCCACACTGGGGCTACCACAAGCACCACCTCGCTCTGGGAGGCGCATCATCCACTAGACAGGCAAGCCATCGGACGCTAGTCACAGAGGTCAGGAAGTGATGTGAACTAGTGCTCAGGTTTGAACAAGGACTAGTGTTCTGCTAGAACAAGGAACAAGTACTAGCGCTCGGGTAGAACAAGAAACAAGGACTAGTGTTCAGGTAGAACAAAGAAATATAGACAAGATGCAGCGAAAACAGAAGAGAGGAACTGAGAGAAGCAAGAGTGACAGGTGGACTGAGGAAGATGTCGGTGGGCCGACGTTCTGTGGAAGAAAAATTGCCACAGAAACCCCTAGAGTAAGACCCTAAGACACAGGCCCCCAGACACAAGCCCCCAGACACAAGCCCCCAGACACAGGCCCGCAGACACAGGCCCCCAGACACAAGCCCCCAGACACAAGCCCGCAGACACAGGCCCCCAGACACAAGCCCCCAGACACAAGCCCTCAGATACAAGCCCCCAGACACAAGCCCCCAGACACAAGCCCCCAGACACAAGCCCTCAGACACAAGCCCCCAGACACAGGCCCCCAGACACAGGCCCTCAGACACAAGCCCTCAGATACAAGCCCTCAGACACAAGCCCTCAGACACAAGCCCCCAGACACAGGCCCTCCAGACACAAGCCCCCCAGACACAGGCCCCCCAGACACAAGCCCCCAGACACAAGCCCCCCAGACACAAGCCCCCTCAGACACAAGCCCCCCCAGGCAGAAGCCCCCCCAGACACAAGCCCCCCAAACACAAGCCCCCCAGACACAAGCCCCCCAGACACAAGCCCCCTCAGACACAAGCACCCTCAGACACAAGCCCCCCCAGACACAAGCCCCCCCAGACACAAGCCCCCCCAGACACAAGCCCCCAGACACAAGCCCCCCAGACACAAGCCCCCCAGACACAAGCCCCCTCAGACACAAGCCCCCAGACACAAGCCCCCCCAGACACAAGCCCCCCAAACACAAGCCCCCCAAACACAAGCCCCCCAAACACAAGCCCCCAGACACAAGCCCCCAGACACAAGCCCCCCAGACACAAGCCCCCAGACACAAGCCCCCCAGACACAAGCCCCCAAACACAAGCCCCCCAAACACAAGCCCCAGACACAAGCCCCCAGACACAAGCCCCCAGACACAAGCCCCCAGACACAAGCCCCTAGGCACGAACTCCTAGACCGTGGCAGGTCCTCAAGGAGCCAGGTTGTGAGCGAGACAGGTGAGGTATCACATCTTAAAAGACGTTGACGTTGAAGTTTGAGAGAGAGAGAGAGAGAGAAAGAGAGAGAGAGAGAGAGAGAGAGAGAGAGAGAGAGAGAGAGAGAGAGAGGATGGAAGGGGGTGAGCACAGAAGGCCGAGAATATAAACTAGTGTTGGTACTTTTGAGGGCTTATGGCGTCAGCACTAAGGGAAAGTTAGAAAGATGTACAGGTTTGGGGAGGATTATTTTGATGCACGGCCGTGTGTGCGTGTGTGTGTGTGTGTGTGTGTGTGTGTGTGTGTGTGTGTGTGTGTGTGTGTGGGGGGCTGGCGTGGGCGTGGTGCTGGCGTGGGCGTGGGGTGGTGCTGAGCCAGTGTGGGCGTGGGTGTTGCGACCCTGATGATGGCTGCCTGAGAGTTGGACTGGAGCTCCTGGTTCCTGCAGAAAAAATAGCAAAAGGTCAGACTATTGTCCATATATATAATTATAGAATAATGGAAAATAAGAAATTCAGTATAATGAAAAAATAATATAGACCATTGAATAATAATGAATATATAGAAATGGATAATATGGAATTTTAAATAATAGAGAATCCTTTGAGTACATTCACTGGGACCTCATTCACCTCTGACTCTACCGTCACCACATGCATAAATGTTGATATTTAAATAGTTCGCATTTAATGTCTGCTCTGTCTGTCTGCTCTGTCTGTCTGCTCTGTCTGTCTGCTCTGTCTGTCTGTCTGTCTGCTCTGTCTGTCTGCTCTGTCTGTCTGTCTGTCTGTCTGTCTGTCTGTCTGTCTGTCTGTCTGTCTGTCTGTCTGTCTGTCTGTCTGTCTGTCTGTCTCTCTCTCTCTCTCTCTCTCTCTCTCTCCCCCTTATGTGGGCAACGAGCATTACAATATGAAATGACAATTTTATCCTAAGTCCGTCACTCGTCTCAGAGGATCGTTTATCTAACGATCGTCGCAGGTGAAACAATACTTTTTTTTAGCATTCACTAACGAAGCTAACGGTGCGAGGTTTACGGCAGCGACGGTGCGGCAGTGCTTGATGCTAACTGTGTTACTGACAAGGGGGCCGCTACTGTCATCTGCGGGCTCCAGCTCCTGGGCCGTCGAGGTCACCACTTAGCGGGGGGGGGGTCCTTCTCTTATGTGGTACTATGCCGGTTGTGTTCTGCTCATGATTGTGGGTGTGGGGGTTGTGGGTGTGGGGGTTGTCAGTGAGGGGTTGTGGGGGTTGTGGGTGTGGGGGTTGTCAGTGAGGGGTTGTGGGTGTGGGGGTTGTCAGTGAGGGGTTGTGGGGGTTGTGGGTGTGGGGGTTGTCAGTGAGGGTTATGGGGGTTGTGGGTGTGGGGGGTTGTCAGTGAGGGGTTGTGGGGGTTGTCAGTGAGGGGTTGTGGGGGGGGGTTGTGGGGGGGTTGTGGGGGGGGTTGTGGGGGGGGGTTGTGGGTGGGGGGGGGGGGTTGTGGGTGTGGGGGGGGGTTGTGGGTGTGGGGGGGGTTGTGGGTGTGGGGGGGGTTGTGGGTGTGGGGGGGGATGTGGGTGTGGGGGGGGGGCTGTGGGTGTGGGGGGGTTGTGGGTGGTGGGGGGGGGGTTGTGGGTGGTGGGGGGGGTTGTGGGTGTGGGGGGGGGGTTGTGGGTGTGGGGGGGGGGGTTGTGGGTGTGGGGGGGGTTGTGGGTGTTGGGGGGGGTTGTGGGTGTGGGGGGGGTTGTGGATGTGGGGGGGGTTGTGGGTATGGGGGGGGTTGTGGGTATGGGGGGGGTTGTGGGTATGGGGGGGGTTGTGGGTATGGTGGGGTTGTGGGTATGGGGGGGGGGGGGGGTTGTGGGTATGGGGGGGTTGTGGGGGGGTTGTGGTTAAGGTGAGGACCTCAGTGGGGGGTAACAGCCACGCAGAATTTGTGGACAAATGGGAAGATAGAAACGAGAGAGAGAGAGAGAGAGAGAGAGAGAGAGAGAGAGAGAGAGAGAGAGAGAGAGAGAGAGAGAGAGAGAGAGAATGAAATGAATGGAAGAAGAGGGGTGAATGATGGATGGAAATTTAAACTGAGAGGTGAAATAGTGAGAGAGCGGGTGAGATAATATATACAAAAAAAAAAGAATGGGCCAAACGGTGTAAAAAGGGAAGAGAGAAATAGTGGAAAAGGAGGGAAGTAGGAAAAGTGGGAGGAGAAAAAAGGAAAGAACGCTAGGAAAACAGGTAATGCAACAGAGGCGGAGGAAGGAAGAGCACAAGAAAGATAGGAAAGATAATTATCAACAGAATGGGCGTAGACAGAAGGATGACAGATAACACTTACTATAGGATAGATGATAACAACAAAACGACTGGATAGACAAAATTAAACAAATGACAGAAGACTACAGAGAATAGAAAAGAAATTATAAACGAAAGACAATAGACGGCAGAGGACAGACGATACGGAAAATATGAGAAAATGGGAGAGGCCGAAATGGTAGGAAAAGGGCGGGTTGAAGGAATGGTGACAAGGAAGAGGGTGATAAATGAGAGTAGTGGCACAAGCCATAATAATGATTTCCAAACATGGATCCCAGAGTGTGGATCATTCCTACCTCCACTTTGTTTGTTTTTTCCATTGTTTGTTTTAATTGTTGTCTTTGTTGCGGACTGCTGCCTGTACTCTTTCTTGTTTGGTGTCGGGGGGGGGGAGGGGGAGGGGGGGGGAGAGGGAGAGGGAGAGAGAGAGAGAGAGAGAGAGAGAGAGAGAGAGAGAGAGAGAGAGAGAGAGAGAGAGAGAGAGAGAGAGAGAGAGAGAGAAAGAGAGCGAGCTTAGTGGAAGGTCTAATGACGATCTCTGGCCATCAATGGTACAAGGAGGCGGACGGGACTGAATTAACCGACCTAGTTATGTTGTCGACCAACTGTGTCCAACACGTCCAATGTCCAGTGTCCAACACACGCAGTGTCCAGTGTCCAGCACACGCAGTGTCCAACACTCGCAGTGTCCAGTGTCCAGCACACGCAGTGTCCAACACACGCAGTGTCCAACACTCGCAGTGTTCAGTGTCCAGCACACGCAGTGTCCAGTGTCCAACACACGCAGTGTCCAGTGTCCAGCATACGCAGTGTCCAACACACGCAGTGTCCAGTGTCCAGCACACGCAGTGTCCAACACATGCAGTGTCCAGTGTCCAGCACACGCAGTGTCCAGTGTCCAGCACACGCAGTGTACAACACACGCAGTGTCCAGTGTCCAGCACACAAATAGGATGTGAGGGAGCAAGAAGACACAGTCTGGCCAGGACACTGTGAGGGTGCAAGGAGACACAGTCTGGCCAGGACACTGTGAGGGAGCAAGGAGACACAGTCTGGCCAGGACACTGTGAGGGTGCAAGGAGACACAGTCTGGCCAGGACACTGTGAGGGTGCAAGGAGACACAGTCTGGCCAGGACACTGTGAGGGTGCAAGGAGACACAGTCTGGCCAGGACACTGTGAGGGAGCAAGGAGACACAGTCTGGCCAGAACACTGTGAGGGTGCAAGGAGACACAGTCTGGCCAGGACACTGTGAGGGTGCAAGGAGAGACACAGTCTGGCCTGAACACTGTGCAATAAAGCCGGGTGCTCTGGTGTCTCCCTCAATATTGCAGGGTAAACCCCTTTTGCTTATCGGGCCCGGAACCTGTGTATCATAGCACAGATCTTGCCTCACATGGAGGTGGTAGCAACACTGACCCTTGCGGCCATGCCTCCAGGGCCACAACTAGTCACTTATACAACTGGTTACGAAATATGTGCGTATTTTAATTAACAAATCCACAAGGGCCATGATGAGGGTTCGAACCTACGACCGGGATGATCCCAGACGCGGCCCTCATCACGGCCCTTGTGGATTTGTTCATTTGATGCATCAGGCTATTGTGATTTCTGTGTATAATGTGCGTCTTTATTTAACCATTCGGCTGTGCTTACATGTTTTAAACAGTCTACGAGTTCCGAAACTTCACAACCAAAAATTATTTTTGTCATAAATAGTTCCTTAGTGCTTCGGAGCACAGAAACTGTTGGATAATTGTACACAAAGCCGCTATAATTGAGGAGAGAAGTACAGGATCCGTAAGTGGTAGCACAGTGGACCAAATGTAAACTACTGTAAACCTTCCACACCTTTACCTAACTCTAGGTTAGGAAGGAAAGGAGGGGGAACTATCAGGAGAAAGCGCCAACCCATAACGACTATATAGCACTGGGAAGGGGTCAGGATAAGGATTTGGGATGGGACGGGGGGTAAGGAATGGTGCCCAACACTTGGACGGTCGGGGATTGAACGCCGACCTGCATGAAGCGAGACAGTCGCTCTACCGTCCACCCCAAGTGATGTGGCTAGGTTAGGAAGGAGAATAAGATAGGTAATGGTTTGGAAGGAGCAGATTATCCCCATTCCCTTGGCGTCCACCAACTCTGGCATTGCTCTGGCCGGGTAGTCCCAGGCCTGAGGTAATGCTCACAACTCTGGCTGCATTAAACACCAACATAAACCTCTTAAAACAAGACAAATTAAAGACACAGAACCAAGTGTACACACGCCAGCCGCCATGAAGTGTGCACCAGTCATCATGGACAACATTCTTTTCTTGCCAGCACTTAGTGGGACTGATACTACCACTACTGCTGTTGACACACAGGGTCATACACTGAAGGTCATAAAGGTGCTGGACGAGCATGAAGAACTTCAAGAAGTTGTTGCAGTGTTTCAGGAACCGTCTGTTGAACCTGCAAAGATTCCTGAAGCAGGAAAAGCTTTAATTTGTCAGTTGTATGGGAATAATGAATGTGAGTCCCTCTGTGACATGAGATATCAATGTTTTGCTAAATCACTGAGCACAAGTAAATTGACTTTGGCTTCCTTGCCTCCCACAGACGCTACAGCTGGATTTCATTCCTCACGTACGTATCACCAAGTTCACAAGGGGTTGGGAAATGTCTTGCCCCCTATACAATGAGGCTGGAACACAACTGCAAAAGGACTGGGCTCCATCACCACAGCTAAAGAACCTGGGGCCAGATTCACGAAGCAGTTACGCAAGCACTTACGAACCTGTCCATCTTTTCTCAATCTTTGGCGGCTTTGTTTACAATTATTAAACAGTTAATGGGCTCCGAAGCACCAGGAGGCTGTTTATAACAATAACAACAGTTGATTGGGAAATTTGCATGCTTGTAAACTGTGTAATAAATGTAACCAAAACCGTCAAAGATTGAGTAAAGATGTACACGTTCGTAAGTGCTTACGTAACTGCTTCATGAATCTGGCCCCTGGTCTTTCAGAGCTGCTCAATGTTATATCCTGCAAATGCCACAAAGGTTGCACGACAGCCACGTGTAGCTGTGGAAGGGCGGGATCACAATGATCTCTGATATTCAAGATGGTTCATGCAAGAGCTTATCATGTTCAAACTCTGAAATAAA